GTTTCGGCGAGACAACAGCGCCATCATCAGATTTAAAATCCATACAAACTCATAATTGGGAAATATTAGATTCTTTTAGGTCTTTGCTGTCTTGAAACGTCAAATTTGTTCGAATTATTGTCTACATTTGCTACGCAGGCAAATGCAGACAATAATTCGAACAAATTTGAGGTTTCAAGACAGCAAAGACCTAAAAGAATCTAATATTTCCCAATTATGAGTTTGTATGAATTTTTAATCTGATGATGGCGCTGTTGTCTTGCCGAAACGTAATGAAATAAACGATATTCAAAATGATTGTGTGTATTGAGACCCAGGAATGATAAGAAAATAATAACAATTACACGCAGTCAGGAAAATAAATCAGAATTTACCTGGAAAGCCGTTTAATTTAAAATTGACTAGTTTCTGTTGCTAGACCTTTACCATGGCGTATGACTTCCCTCTATTGCTACACAAGGTGATTGAAAATCGGCGTAAACATATTTTTTGAAAGTTTGCTTCGCTCAAAATTGGGAAATTTTAAGCCGCGAAGGTGGCAAGTTCGAACGCAGCAACGCGCCGGATATCTTGCATCTCTGGCTGAACTATATGGGTGCGAGGGAGAAAACCGAGGGCAGCTACGCTCCCGAATGGAAAAAGCAGCCCTGGCGTCGCTCGAATCAGAGCGTTCGCTTCACAGACTGAGATCTGGAATCGAACTCGACTAACCCTGAAGATGTTGGCGATGACTGCAGGCAAAACGTCGGGACCAAATTCATATCAGCGGCGATTTATTAACTGGATAATCAGCAATTTTATGAGCCACAGCCGCGAAGCTAAAAAACTGTCGTTTTCCTTCCAGTTCCGTTCCAGATTCGGAACTAAGCAGCATGTTGAACCACTAAAGGATGAGTTGATGCGCATTTAATTCCGCGATTTCGCGTTTCAGTCACTTAGAATTGGTTCAATTCGCGCTTGGGTTCGAATGAATCCTCACTCCTCACGGGCTTTCCATATACAGAGTGTCTCTCAGCAAGCCGGCATTTGTTGCAAATCCAGAAAACATCCAGAACCCGCAGAGTGGAAAACTACTCACTGTGCGATCCCAGAAGAGTCAAGGCGGAGGCCGAAGTGGGTACCATGGTGCTGTTGTACGTGGCAGCTGGACTGAGCGGAACCGAACTGGCATAGGCATGGGCGGGGCTGGGCGGCACATTGTTGTAGGCGTGGCCTGGACTGGCTGGAACCTGGCGAATCAGACTGTCGGCCGCCGCACGCTCCACATTGCCGGTGCGCGATTCCAGCGTCTGCAGGGTGGGCGCACTTGTGGCGGCGCCATGCGCCAAGTCGCTCTCAGTGGGCGCTTGGGGAATGGGCGCAGCGGCGTGGTTGCCGTGGGCGGGCGACATCAAGCCCATGCCATGGCTGGGGAACATGTGGTGCGACGGGAAGGCGGCGTGGTTGATCGGGTGCTCCCACTTCACGTTGGCCAGCGGCACGTTTGGGGATGAGCTTTGCGTTGAGTACACCTCGACCCCTAGGAAGATCACACAAAATATCTACTAGAGAAGCGTTCGTTTCTAGCCGCCACTGTCCACCTTCAGGTAGGGTAATTCCGGGAGAGATGGACCAGTCGGGAATTTTCGACTCTACATGGTATAGGAAGAATATTTCAACGCCACCCCGTCAACTAGCTAATTTTCGGGAGTGGCTTTATTAGTTTCTGCATTTACACATGGTAGACATTTTTTTAACGGTATTTTGAAGGTGCGATTCTAACCAAAAGAAAGTTTTAAAATGCGATTTGTAGTTAAAAATGCATTGAATGGTATCCACTCGTACACCGGACAACGTAAACGATGTAAAAGCCGATTAATACATAGATTTTTTGTTTTTGGGTGGTCCGTCTATCCCTGAAATTTGGGATAGACGGACCAGAGTAAAATGGGGAAAGTTGAACCGGTTTTTATTTTTCTGTTTTATTCAATCAGCCCTGTGCGGTATCATAAATGCTATAACGGCCACACGTTATGGCAACTTAACAGTTCAGGGTAACATTTTCGATAACGCAGCAACACAACCGAGGTGTGCTCTATCTTCGAGTTAACGTATGCGTTTCGGACCCAGTTATCCATCAAACGTTAAAAAGGAAAAAATATTAGGTGCATAAAGTGAGATGCCCTTATACGAGTAGTCTATTAGTTAGAGAGAGAGAGAGTTAACATCAAACCATCGAAGCCTCTAAAACATATGCACCGCCACCACATGTGCACGTTTTGACCATTTGGGTTGCCTACTACCCTACATGTCTTTGTTTTTGATTTGCATTCGCTTTTAATTTCGTTTGTTATTGTTCTTGACCTATCTTCTCAAACACTTTCAATGGAGCATATACAGAAGAAAAAAAAACAACCCGCAAACAATTTGAAAATTTAGTAGAGTTTGTGGACAAAAATAAAGTTTATTTTCAAGACCATTTACTAATTGTTCTAATAAAGTTAACCTTATGAGACCACCAAAAGACACATTTTTCTTTTAAATTAAAAACGAATTATAGCGAAAAGACAAAACTACGCTCTGATTAAACACAATTGATTTATTTATTCCCCGAAGTTAACTTCGAGGGATGCACGTTAAGTTCGATAGCG